AGTTAAAGCTAGTACTACTTGTTTTTTTTTATTATAGGAAAATAAAACTTACCACGCAAAACCACTTTAATTGATTAGTTACGTGTTATATTTAAATGCGGGAACAAAAAGGTGGCAGGTGGCTAATATCAGCTTTCATAATGGAATGCTTGATCTTATTTAATTAATTAAAATATGCATTTGCAGTCTATTTCAGTCTATGTGAAAAATAAAGCCTTTTTATTGAAGTAAAACTTCTTTACGCACGCTTGATATGGGGAGAAAGCTGGTGAATGCGTGACTAGAGCGTTACGAAAAGTGTGATCAGACGAGGCGAACGTTTGTTGCCATGGTAACCGTTGTTATTGTCTGACAAATGATATACATTCCTGTTATAATTCCTTGCTTTAAGTGTAAGTAGGAAATATTTTCACGTAGGGCTTTAACATTTTATTGAAATTTTATCACATTATTTTATTTCATGTATTTAAATGAGATAACTTAATTTCACTACAAACTACGTTATTCTCTACAAAATGCATCGTCTAATCATACTTGTATATGATTAGAAAACATTACATTGTTTTGTTTCATGTAAGTAGAAACGATCCAATACAAATATCGCCACGTAGAAGATATCCGTCCCCAGTTTTCATATTTTTCCACAACAGTTACTTTTCTTTGACCATTTTAGGATAATCTATTTCTCAATACCTATAAGATTTTATAACAAAAAAATATTAGTAAATTCCTAAAATAGCTTTATTTAAGAATATCATCAAATATTTAACTCTAATCTAAAATATTAAATCTAAAATATTCAGACTATTCGGGCCTCGATATTTTCTGCAGTGTGGCGAAACTAATGAATCGTTCATCTAAACCTTCTGCACTCATTACTCACACACTTTATACTGAGAGTAAACGTTAAATTAAATAGCTAGGCGATAGTCTGAAAGAATTCAACCAAAGCACTTACAGAATTTTAGAACGATCTAAATGAGAAAATTTAGTTACGTTAAGCTAAAGATTGTTATTTTGTCAGGTTTTTTTTGTTATGTATAGTTTCTGCTATATTATTAGAGTAATTTAAAAAGTAAAAGTATATTTTATGTTCATGTTACGGGTTTTCTACGTGCATTTTAACAAATAAATTTTACATGCGGGGATGAAATCGCTGGCCTACTGAGTAAGCTCCCTTTCACTTTAATTTACCTATAATAAATGCTTTATAAAGAGAAGGTAAAATGCATTATTAAAAATTAATAATAAGTAATTTAAATTGTTCTAAACTAAATGAATATATATTTTTATATTGGTGTCTATTTTAAACTTATAAATAACTTTTTATTTATTGTTTAACTATTTACTGTAACTAAAAACTAAATAAAAAAGTTTATTGTACTTTTAGTGACAGGTAATCACAGCATGCCTAAGTTGTTAGCATATTTTAGAGATAATTAAAAAAAGAATAACATCGTAAAATAATATAAAAAAAAACAAATAGTAAATTAATTAATCACACAGTAGAAATAATGTCAACAAAAAATAGCGATAATTTACGTATTTCTAATGACCAATTACAGAAAAAAATCGATTTCATTACTAAATATATTCTTTATTATGTGGACACACAATTTTTTACATATTTTAATTCTTGCATTTCTGATAAAATAATAAATTGTATGTAGCTAAACTCTCATTCGTATGGCTTAGCTACAAGACTGTAATTTATGTTGACTGCTAAATGGTATCTTCCAATAGATACACAATAGAGCCCTCGATTTGTTGTTAACTCAATAGTAAAGATGTACGATCGCTCTCATCTGTTTTTACTTCTCATTCTTGCTTACAATCTAATTGATGTTAAATAAATTTGCAATGGTTTACCTTAAAGATAAAACTCGAAGTATTTTTAAACAAAGTAAAAAATAAAAAAAGAAAGCTGATGCAAGTTTTTCTATTGGCTTTTGCCAAATATCAGTACCAGACTAAACCGCGACAACGATTCACTTTAGCCTGTAGTTGCTACCTACCAATTTGGTTTTTATTTAATCATTGTTTTTTTACTTTGGGTGATATTTTTCAAAACTAAATCAAAATTAATTAATCAACCAACTTTATATTTATTTTATATGAGCACGCTCTAAACAAACACTGACTAAAAAACAAAATGTTCAACTTTATATATTAGTATAGATAAGATAAATGACATAAATTCCTTCCTTCCGAGAAATTGCCTTCGGGTTATTCTTAAACAAAATTAAAAGTTATGAAATGACAACTTTTTTGAAGAAAAACTTATGATTTGTTATCTTTTGGTTAAACTTCCAAGAGCGACGCCAAGAAATTTTAATATTAAAATCTTTTCGCGTTCCTGCTTAAGTATTCTCAAACCCATAAAGTTACAAAGTGAATATGTAGAACATAGGTAAACTGTTCAAAATTGAGCGATTCATATCGTATAAGATCCTTTAACAATTTCATCTTTAGAATTTCCTATCAAAAGCAATATGTAGGTACATGCAACGTACAATTTGATTGTTTTGACCAATTTGGACTACCAAAAAAATTTTATATTTATTGCACTAGCAATAAATATAAATCTTTTAAGCTTTGCATTTTCTATTGACGGACTTTAATATACTGCATTTAATCAAATTACTTATATCTTGGAAAGTAGGCTTTTTCATGTCATATTTTGGGAATTATTTTTCGTAATATTTTTTCCTGTAAAACAGTGACGGTCAATGACTAAAACAAGTATTTTTTTTGTAAACAGATGATTTTTACAAATAGGCGTGAATTGTGAAACTATCAATGAAAGAAGAAAATAAAAAATAAATTAGCTCAATCTGGAATCGAACCCGTTGTTTTTAAAAACCTATATTTTTGTAATATTCATCGTTTTAAAAATTGCTTTTATCAATTGCATGACCTCACAACATACATATATATACGGATAAAATACATGTGCAAAATGTATATATGTACACTACATATGTATGTGTGTATGTAAAAGAATTGGTTTTTTTTTAAACTTTTTAGGGAAGAAGAGAATAGAAAAAAAAAATTTCTTAGACAGATTTTAAGTTTGGTGCGTTAAAGTAATATATACGTAAACAAATCTTCAATCAAAAGTCCTTTGTTTATTTAATTAACACTTATTAAGAAAAGGAGAGTTGCAAAGCTTCATTAACTTTTTGTATGCTTCAGTTTCATAGAACTAAACATATAGTACTGTTTATTTTTAAAAGTAATCCAAGCATATAAGAGACTTCACAGTAAATTATGAAAAGATTTCCCAAGCCCTGGCTCTGTTATTTCAAGTTTTTATTATAAAGCTCTATTTTTATGGACCCGAGCTTTGGTTAAAAATACAATACATTGCGTAAAGTACATTATGCGCTGATACGAAATTTTAATATTATCCAAAATTTAAAATATTTGAGAATTACTGACTGTTATCCTTAAATCAGTAGTATTGTTGATCGAAGCTGTTACCTAACTTATTTTCTTTAATGCACAAACAAGTACGTTTTACAAAAAAAAAATACACGGATAGTGATGTGGGTAACGGTGGGACTTAACTCTATAAGAGATCTCTTCCAGTCCCTATTTATTGATTAAAAATATATATAAAGCCTAAATTGTATCTACGCTTTGTTTATTGTTATTATGTGTAGTCTTTTGCGCAAAAAAAATTATATTGTACCTAATATTTTATAATGTTGTTTCTTTTTAATATTAAAACAAGCCGTCAGTCAGGCTCAGCTTTAACCCGGGATTGTATTATAAACACAAAATATCAAAATATTTTGGTCATATATATATTATTTTGTATAATAATGCTTTCGGAGTGGAGTTCCTAAAAATCCTTCCTTAATGATCATTTTCATAAGTAACTCTTGTACGAAATTTCATGCTTCAAGACTAACAGTGGCTTAGACTGTGTTGCCTGTCAGAGAATTTTGTTTTTGTTGTATTTTTATTTAATACATATTAAATTCTTATAATATAAACTGGCGAGTCACCTTCGCTTCACTCTTTTTTCGCTATACAAAACTTTTCCTGACAATAACAAACACAAAAAAAAACAATTATCCAATTTGGTTCAGTCGTTCAGAAGTTATGCTTATACATACATTTCGGTGATTCATTTTTATTTATATATAGATTTAGATAGATTAAAGATAAATAGCACATTGCGTCTATTTTAAAGTGAACGTACAACGTTAATATTGAAATAACGTATGAAATCAACCTCTCTACATGGAGTCTTTCCGTACAAGGTTTTGTACTATAAGTTAAATATTTGGTCAACTTAAACTTTATAGCTAGCTTTAATCTACGCTATCCATTACCTTTAACTACCGTATTTATCACTACAGTGCGTTTCTTGCTTGGTCAGTTCTAGATGCGACCGATGTAAGATCTTATACTATATATATTTAGATATATTTTACATCTTAATTTACGTTTCAGACTATTATTTGGTATATAACTAAACTGGTCTATATATTTTTTAACCTTGACTTTTTTATAAGTATTTACCTTAAATTATTTTGAGAAATGTCATAGGACGCAATATTAATTATAATTGTTATAAGTTATGAATTTTGATTATATATACTAATTAGTTTCTACCGTTACGTATTAGTATATATTCTCGGCCTTGAAGAGAACAGAAGATAGAACCATTCACTCCTTTAGTTTTTAGTATAACAGACAGTATTATCAAACATAGATGTTATAATTATTGAAGGCGCTGAAAAGGTTTTTTCAAAATTCTTTTTGCATTAAATAGCCCGTTTATTGAGGAAGCCTATATAGGCTATATATGATCCCGGAACAAAATGGACGGTTCCCGTGGGACAGATTTATTTTTGTCTAGAGATGAGTTCGAAGCGAAGCGACGGTGAGACGCTAGTATACTCGTAAAATAAAAAAATATATTGTAAGTAAATAATATATACAACAAATATAAATGATCAGGTACAATAAAACAGCTATTATATTTATTTTTTACTATTATTCATATCCACATAACTACCTTTCTTTTTTTTATGTATATGTCTTAAAATATCCTCTTCCTCTTTTTTCGTTCCACAGCACTTCTTACAGCATTCAATTTTATGACCAGTTTGTCTGAAATAATGATAAATTAAAATGTAAAATGTATACCATATATTATTACTCTATCATTGCCGAAAAAATATTATCTTGAACTGTATAGTACCATGACATGAAATTGTTAGTTTCACAATCATAACTAATTTTTACTCGTATCTTTTTCTACGTGGATATATTTCTATTAGTTAAAATATTGTTAAAATTACGCTTAAGTAGAAATTTTACTCTAGGCAAATACAAGGAGTGAAGTATTTTTTTAAGATCTACATGTTCTCTTTTTTCCAAATTCATTTAAATAGGTTGATGTATGATTGAATGAAGAATATCAAAATATCTTTACAAACTTTCACGTTCATAAAAAACTGGAAACTTCAAAAAGATATATGAAATATATGGGAATAACATATTATATTTCTATATCACAATGAAGTAGTTTCAACACAATTCATAAAATTTCTTTTTTCGACTATTGTATAATTAAATATTGCCTAAGGCTCTATGTGACAACTCTAATATTTTTAAAGTTATTGCTTACGGCAAATTTTCAGCGATCCAAGCACAGAAACATATCATCTTCATACCAACTGCTACTCGCTCTCCGCCGTAATTTATACCGCCCACTGTCACGGCCACTAGGCGACCCTGACGTAGTGCTGGTGCTCCAGAATCTTCCTGTGATATTTAAGTTGATATTATAACTGGTAACCCTACACGCCGTTTTACAACCTTCAAAAAGGAAGAGATACTAAATTCGTCTATTTTGTTGGTATCCTATATCTTTGCCAATTCCTAAACGCAATGTCTATACTTATAATAAAATTGTAACTAAGCCGAATCTGTACATTAAATATTTTATACTTTTTGCTGCGGAAAAATATCTCATCTTTGAGAAATTTATACTAAACGTTAAAACGTAAGTAGGGACGAACCCGAGCAGAGCGAGGATGAGACGCTAGTCCTATATAAAATTTTAAAATGATTAAATATTAATTTATAAATTTAAAAGAAAATTCCTTCACTAAGGATAAAATAAATACCTTCAAGTAATTAAAAAAATAGTATTTTTTGTTAAACAGTAATTATTACAATAAAACAACCCAAGAATTAATTATTTCTAAGCAAAAAATGAAACAACACACTATAATTTATATTATTAAGTTAGAGTTTCAAAATTCTTAATATCTGTACATATAATAAAATTCTATTAAATATTTTTTGGTAAATCTTATTGAAATAGACTTTGTTATCGATACAAAGATTAACGTTTTTAGAATTTTTGTCTGTCTGTCGGTCTGTCTGTGACCGCATCACGGAAATACCACTTGAGGGATTTTGATGAAATTTGGTATGATGGTAGCTGGTTATCCGGGTCAACATACAGGATAATTTTTACTGCTGGAGAATATCTCATTTCTCAGAAATCTATACTAAACGATAAAATGTATGTAGAGACGAACCCTAGCGGAGTGAGGATGAGTCAGTAGTTAAAACACTAAAACTTGACGTAAAGATGTCAGTATTTAGTAATTCTCTATCATTACAAACGCTTGTTCAACTCGATACAATACAACATGCTGGGACAACGTGAGAACCGCGTTTGTATATCACCGGACGTTTACTTTGATACAAATGTGCTTCAGACGTGCGTATGAAAAGCGTTAATCTGTCATTACTGAATTTTTCAACATGTACCATGGCAAATAAACTTTAGCTGTTACAATTTAGCAGTGCTATTTACCCGTTTGCCTAAAAACATTTAAAATATATCTATACTAATATTATCTATATAGATAAATAAAATTGAAGTTTCTGTTTGTAATGACAAAATAACAGCGTTTTACTAAATGCATATGAAATTACATACGTAATTGGCAAGTACGTTACGCTAATACTTGTAAGAAAAACACATTTTTTTAAATTTTCGTTTGTCTGTTTGTTTGTTTGTTCCAGATAATCTCTGAAACGGCTGGACTGATTTTGACTGGACTTTCACTGGAAGATGATAGTTTGATAAGAAGATTGTTTGGTAGAAAGGATACTTTTATCCTGGAAATCATCCTTTAAGGGGGTAAAAAAGGGGATGAAAGTTTGTATGGTGAATCAACCTAGTGTACAGTGCAACTCAAGCTAGTGCAACGTAGTAAGTTGCTAGTAATGCATAAAAATAAAAACTTAATATTATGAAGCTATCGTAGCCCATTAGCATCGAGTTCGCTTGAAAAATGAATTATAACAGTTTCAAACTCGCCTCCCATACTAGTGAGACTTACTGTAATTTATTTCCAAAATATCACTTTGCTATATTAAGGCTATCTATATTAAGGTCACCGGTGGTGGGACCGCTTGGTCCCACAGGATGATGGGTGACGGTTGCGGGACTGTGGTCGCAGGCCCGCATCCGGCGGAGAGGTAGGCCGCGGCGGGAGAGGAGTGCCGGTATTTCGGTGCGCCGTTCTCCCAACCTTTCGCGTCCTAGACGGGGCCGCCACCGTTTGATGGCGGACGCGGTGGGGCTGCATGGGAAGAGGAGTGTCGGTGTTTCGTTGCCGCTCTCCTTGTCTCTGCAGCCGATTGGAGGTGGCCCACTTCGGTGGGCGGAGGTTAAGTATAATGGGGCTGCTCCGGGTACCTCTCTGGCGTAGTAGAGTTGACTGTGGAGCAGCCCCATTGGTTTGGTGGTCTGCCTAGCGCTTAAGCAGACCTGCTGCCGGGGCGCCGTAGTAGTTATGCGCAAGCGATTATGCAGCGTCCCACTAAGGCGGGGGGAAGGGATGTCGGGTTTTAGTGGATAGTACCGGCTCTTCCAGCCGGTGAGCCCCACATCACCACCTGGGGGATCAGGTGGTATGTGAAAATGCATTTCCCGACGATAAAAAAAAGGTATAACGGCTGCTAGTAGGCTAAATTATTATTAAATAATAATTAATTATAAATAGTATCGAATAAAATAAAATAAAATATAAAACAGTAGATAATCCAAAAATAAGTTAAAATAATTCTAATTATTAATTCAAATTTCATTATATAATATGTTATTTTAAATGAAATGAGTGAATGAAAAAAGCTGTTATTTGAAATCTATAAAGAGACATTCCATCTTATTTTGTTATAAAGCCACACATACAAGAATGTATAATTGCGTTTTTTTTCTTAACTTCAATATAAAAACAATAAACAATAACAAAAATAAAAAATATAAACAACAATAATATAAAAAAAAACTGTTTTTATTGTATGATTAATATAAAAAACCTATTAATAAATGTCGATAATTTCAACAAAAAATAGCGTTTATTAAATAAATAATATATATAAATAGGTTTTATTATGACACTATGATAAACATAAAGACGACATTCGTTTAAATTAAATTTCTTAATTTACCTCAGTTATGTAGAACGCCTCATTTGCGTAGCAAAGGACTTCGTTGGGATTTTCTGCAAACATCTTCATATTTAGAACATTAAAACGACGTGTAAAAATGCTTTGCAAATTAACATAATTTACAAATTACTATATTGTAGTTGTAGTTTATCTTGTAATATTTTAAAATATGTGGCTTTGTCATTAACATTTTTCCTTTTATTTTACTTTTACACTTTATTGCTACATTTAAAGAGAAAATATTTTATTCTATTTTCACTTAATTTTAATCTATACTATAATAAAATTCTGAGTCAAATATGTACATTAAATATTTTTTTGGAAAATCTCTAGAAATAGTCATTATTATTGATATAGAGCTCGAATCTATATTTTTTAGAATTTTTGTCTGTCTGCCTGTCTGTCTGGGAACGCTTCACGAGAAAACCACTGGACAGATTTTGATGAAATTTAGTACAAAGATAGGGGGTTATTCGAGTCAACATATAGGATATTGTTACTGCTTGAAAATATCTCGTCTCTGAGAAATCTATACTAACCGTTAACGTAGGTACCGCTACCGCTACTGCGTACCGCTAGCTCCAAATATTATTACTTTTATAAAAGCACTAAAAAATTTTTATAGTAAATACTAATTTATTTTCTTCTTGGGCAGACATCGAACTCACGACGATCTATAATTATGAAAATATTCGCAAAAAAAACTCTAAATAAACTCTCTTTACTTACTTATTTCATATAAGGAAGGCATAGTTTTCTCCACCAATTTACTACAAGTCTGTATGTTTACAAAGCCAAATACTTCAGAAGTTAATGTATTTTTCTGAAAAAAAAAATGTTATTTCATAAGTAGGTAAGTATGTATTTAATTGGATAATATTAAAACTTGTAAAATATTAATGCGACTTGTATCTATTGAATGAAGAAAAATTTAAAATAATTTTGAGGTTAGATAGGTACTTACCTCAAAATTATTTCTAAACAAATTAATTTTTTTTTACTTTTCCCTTTATTTTATGTTTTCACTATAATTTTCCATACAGAGTAGTAAGTAAATTGCCTTTCGCAAGTATTGAAATTATTGTCTCAAGCGAACCAAAAATAAGCTATAGTACAAATAATCTAAGCATTCTCTTTATGCGGGAACCGAATCTGAAACCTCGTACATAATAGCCAACCAGGTAATACCTTATACTCGTATAATGCTACTATTCCTGTATATATTTTCGAATTATTAGGCGGAGTCGCAATAAAATGCTACGTTTTCTTGCGGCTCCGCCCTCGCCTTTTAATTTTGTAGAATTATTTCTCGTAACGAAAACAAGAATTTTTAATAGGACGAGTATATCCAGAGATAAAAATGTTCCAACAAATAAAGAAACAAGCTATAATAATTTCTAATATACTATATATTAGAAAAATATCCATTTTACTAACTTGATTTCCCATTGTGCGTCGCCAATTATTTTCATAACGTGTTATCTTGTTCGTGTTCTTACGAGCTACTCGATTCCTTTTTTTTTCTTTATCAACTGGTTCTTTAAAAACCTTTCTCAAATATACCTTGAATATTACAATTCATGTATCAGAATAATATAAAAATGATTAGAATAATAAATATAAAGTACAATTTTATATCATAAAATACATTACGTAATATTATGAAAAGTAATAGTAACAGACTAATATTATAAATAAGATTTTCATGCGATATTTCTATTAATTTTGGTTCATCGTAAAAACAATATTCGTAAATAACCGTATATTATTCTTATTATTATATGTATTATCAAAACTCAAAAGAACAAAAAAAAAAGTTAAAAGTTAAAAAATATTGTAAGGTACTTTGGTGCCTTTTATCAATTTTTTGAATTCATTTTGTTATTTGTAGGTATGCTGTTTGTAACAACTATATAATACCTTAGAGACATCTAACACCTCAGTCTCTCCCGTGACCATGATTGGTGTAAAGTATTCGAAACGTCGGGAACCAAAAATCAAAATAAATTCGAGAAAAAATCCGAAAAGATAGTTTTATTTAAAATGACAAAATAACAACTTATAAAAACTGACGAAACAGAATCGTACCAGTTCAACTTGTATACAATATAAAATTTAAATGCAATGCACATTATATGTACGTGCAAAATAACCATAATAAAAAGGTGTAGTACGAAACATTGGTGCGTGATTCTGATTCACATTTGACTGATTTTATTTTAAAAAATCATATGCCAATTAAAATACCTTTTCCTGTTCCCAGCCATCTCGGTCTTCTTTACTATTAAAATTTGATAAGTTTTTATCTGTTTCTTGATAATGATGAAATTTCTAAAAGATCGTAAAAGTATGACTAACTTACGCAAATACACTATAAATTCGGTAAAAAATAAAGTTTTAAATATTTTTCTATAGATGCCGACATTAGCTTCCCGCCAGCCGTAATTTTAATTAATTTAATAGCATTGCACTAATAAAACTGGTATGTTTGGAGGACATCTAAACAAAAATAATTAAAAATATGGTACAATAAAGTATCACGTTTTCCAGATATTTTAAGTTTAAAGTCGGTGGACATGTTTAGTGATTGCGGTACACATGTATATTCTTATAGTAATATTATGGTTTTTCTCCTGAGAACTGATTTTTTATAGAGATATTTTATGGAACGTAGTGCTATTGAACATTTTTTATGTCGGTATCAATAGGTTCCATGGGACTTATAAAAACTTTTTAACAAAAAATAAAAACCGACTTCCAGGCACTAAAATGTAAAAAATAACTAAACGGAGGTTTTTATTTAGAATAGATACCTAATCAGATATTTTCGAAGTCGGTGCCAGCCAATGCTAAGCAAATCTAATATATTTCGATACGTAAAATACATAATATTTACCTATTAGATATTCATATCTTAAAATATTGTAGGCCGGCACCGACTTCGAAAATATCTAATTCTAAATGAAAGCCTCCGTTTAGTTATTTTCAACCGACTTCAAAAAGGAGGAGGTTCTCAATTCGACTGTATGTTTTTTTTTATGTTTGTTACCTCAGAACTCCGCCATTTATTAACCGATTTGGACCATTTTTGTTTTGTTTGAAAGGGTATACTTCCAGATTGGTCACATTTAAATTTCATAAAAAAAATACCACCCCTAAGGGTGGAAAAACAACTAATGATGAATTTAACCTACTTCTAATTGTCATAGTGACTTGAAACTTTGCAAGTATTTCTATTTCCATTGATAGTACAGTAGTTCGGTGTTGTTGACCTGATCTGATGGCAGGGCCAGAAGGTGGATAGGTGGAACTCTTCAACGGCTAATAGTAGATACTTTGAGTTTGGGCTTATTTTGTTTGATTTGACAAGCCTAACACGTTAGAATTCTTACTTTGCTACACTAAAAAGGGAAAAATAAAAACTTTTTAACAAAAAAATAAAAACCGACTTCAAACAAAAGCACTAAAAAGTAAAAAATAACTGATTGGTAGTTTTCATTTACTATACATACCTAATCAAATATTTTCGAAGTCGGTGTGCTTTGGCTAAGTAATTAAAGCCTACCTATTAAATACATACCTAATCAAATATTTTCGAAATCGGTGCCAGCCCATACAAAGCAAAGCGCACCGACTTCGAAAATATTTGATTAGGTATGTATAGTAAATGAAAACTACCAATCAGTTATTTTTTACTTTTTAGTGCTTTTGTTTGAAGTCGGTTTTTATTTTTTTGTTAAAAAGTTTTTTTTACATTTTAGTGCCTGGAAGTCGGTTTTTATTTTTTGTTAAAAAGTGTTTATTTTTCCATTTTTAGTGTAGACGTAATAAGCAGGTAATTTGTAAGAAGAAAGTTTTTTAATAACATATTCGATTAAACAATTTATTTAAAAAAATATATTTATTGATGATTTTTTTAAAAACCGCTCGACCGATTTCGATAAAATCCCCTTTGAAACGATAAATAAAAATTCCAAATCGGTTCAGGCGTCTTCGAGTAATCGGTGAACATACATAAAAAAAAGATTCCGACGAATTGAGCACCTCCTCCTTTTTGGAATTGGAAGTTGGTTAATAAATAAGCAAAGGAACAAAGCCACTAGTAAAAGCAGTATTTTATATAACATATCCTTACAGCATCTTCTTGATCAGATGAAATGTCATATTTCGTAGTCTTTCTTATCTTATGTATTCTTTTTGATTTTTTGTTTGGAGTTAGGGCAACGGAGGACGGTTCACGATATTTTTGTCGTCTTGGCTTCTTTTTATTCTTTCGATGCTTTGTTTTAGAAGTCATCTTTCCCACTAGCATTTTATTTTTGGCACTTTGTTTGTCCTATAAATCAATAAAGACTTATATTTGACTCCGCTCTCTGTTATTATTAATAAATATTCAGGCCAAAGGTCAAATTAGTAGGTGTATGTTGAAATAAGTATATTTTTATAGTTCTATTTAAGGAAAATCAATGTAAATAATATATTTTTGCTTTGAAATATTTCTTGTAAACAAAATAACTGACTCGAACTTTTCATTATATTTTTTTTTGTTTACTAGCTCTTTTCATTCAGCCGTTTTAATTGAGCTAAAGATAGCGCATGGTGCTGTATGGTAGAGGCCTACATATGTATACCCAGTCCAGCAATGGGTGAAAGTGAGTTGTATCATAACTAATGAAGACGATATATTTAATTCATATCAAGTCAGTGTTTAATAAATTATGGTCCTTAACTCATCAAACGTTTAGTAATTCTATATATTATTTATCAAAAGATTCTTAAATAGAATAATATATGAAATACAAGGCTAGGTCCAGTAAGCTCTCTACACCGTATTTCAACTTAACTCGGCCTCGATAAAAATTTACACATTTTATAGTAAAAACTTTTATTTTGATACTAACTTTATGGGCAGGGAGACTAACGGTTTCATCCTCAACATTTGAGTATATTCCAGTGAACGAAGTTACTTGAGTTTTTCTGGTTCGAAGCTTACCCTGTAACAAAAGACATTTTTTTTCTTTAAAACAAAACCTTCGTCATGGCAACTTGTTACATATTATAATGAAAAAAATATATTTAAAATCTTTTCTTATAACATTAAATAAGCAATTCTTGTATATATATATATATATATATATACATATATATATATATATATATATATATATATATATATATATATATACATATATATATATATATATATATATATAGGTGAACGCACCTTGTGGGGGGGGGGGGTGGTTCATAGGAACGCACCCGAGCGAAGCGAGAGTAAGTCGAAAGTCTATACTAATATTATAAAAAAATCTTTATTTATGCATTAGATAGCCCGTTTATTGAGGAAGTAAATAGGCATTATGCTACTACCCAAGGGAGTGGAGTAGTCATCATAAATGTCAAGAAATAAGGCAGATTTCCATACGTTATTGTAAAACTATATCTATACTAGTAAATGTAGAGCCGATTTTTGGTTCGGTTATACTGCGATAACTACTGAACCGATCGAAATAATACTCATACCATAAGATGCAGCGTGTTTCGGAGAAGGTTTTCGTATATAATATGTTGGTGATTAATGTACTATGAGGGCGGAGCCGCAGGAAAACCCTAGTATAATTTATATAGATAGGGAAGAACTCGAGCGAAACGAGGGTGCGTCACTAGTTATGACATAATAATATAAGGTTATGACTAAGTTTATATTTGTAAAAGTTAATTTTTTTAATATAAAATACCTTTGATTCACTGTCATCTTCATCAGAATTAGGAACTTCAGTGTGTCGGGCAGTCACTGAGACCTTGATACCATAAAGTATGTACATATATTAAAATAATTTACATCTGTAACTCCATTACACTAGTTTTCTTTTTAATAAACCCTGTACAATAATAAAAAGTAGTGTTCGACTACAGGTCAAAATTCGATTATAACATAATTGAAAATTTGAGGAAAACAATATATGAAAATGTATCTATCTATATAAAAAACAGACTGTTGTCAAATTTATTTTATCTATACCACTAAAACTCGTTAGATACGAAACAAAAAAAAAGAAGACCAAAAAGAAAAATAAGTTGACAAACAGACGAGAAAAAGATACTGAACTGATATTATATGTAACATTTTTTTCCTTTCTTTTAAACTGTTTAATAATATAATATGCACTATTTGTAATAACATTTCTGTGGTATAATATTATAACAATTTGCTCATATCGTGTTTTCATTAAAACATATAATATTTAAGCGTAAAATAACCTAAACTTTTAAGCCTAGACTAACTTTTGTTTAGCAATACTATTACGGAAAGTACTTTACAAAATAATTTCTAACGGGCTTAATTTATATTATAATTGAAACGCTGGAAAATTGAAATGTTTTAAATTGATTTTTAGGCAATCTTCAAAATATATGAAAATATTTAAATGTGTTTTTACTTATATTCAAATATGAAGTACTTTTTTATTCTAAAACACTATGTAATACAGAAAAGTATTAAAAATCTTCCTTTTGTACTTTTTTTATAATAGATACATACTTGAATTATGAAAAAATAAATAATAATTACCTCATCTATACAGCGTCCCCAACTAAAAACAGTAACGTCAGAATCTGGCGTACTGGTCGCCTCACTGGCCAATCGTATAACCCTTCCAGGCTTATCAGACATCATGCCAGCAAAGGTATACACTAAAGCCAAATCAGCCGTCCAGCCTCTATATTTTGGATGGATTATAACCCGTTCAATTGGCAGGTACTGTTCGTAGCCAGTGTCGAACATTTTTTTCGAACCAATTACTACGAATGATGCTGTGAGTTCTGCTTTTTCATCGTCTTCTGAACTGAAAACATACAAAAATATCTACTTATAAAATTTTATAAATACCTTTTGTGCTATATTATCTTAATAAATATAACTGCATTTTATAATTTTCATGCAACCTCGTTATTATTTTTAGTATCATTAAGTCCTTTTGACTTTGTGACGTATTTTCATCTTTTATTCATGAAGTGTAGCTAATATCCTTTACAGTTACATATTAGTACGAGTACTCATTTAGTAAAACTTTTTTAGATTTACGCGAGTATTCGACATTTTAAATAAAACAATCTTTTCGGATTTTTTCGCGAATTAATTACCAAAAAAAACAAAATATATCCGCGAAAAATCCGAAATGATAGTTTTATTTAAAATATTCATCTAGTATTAAGCATTATATGAGTTAATATCCACAGAACGTAGCACCCAGTTCTATAAATTATCTCCATACAAAAAATAGTTTACAATTGCATAGAATAGAATAAAAATGGCATAAAGGATAACCTTTATAATACGTAGTATTTATTTACAAATAATGCAAATAGTGACTGATATTATGATTCTCATTAAAATATTGCCCCAAATGTATGTACATCAGATCCATTTTCAGAATTCCCTATAATAAAAGTGTCAGATGTACTAACAAGCAGTGCGCGGCGGTGATAACTACGTTATCGTGAATAATGGTCCCGGTGCAGGTTTTCTTTGAGCCCTCTGTGAACACCACACTGTAATAAAAACATATAGTAATTATTGAGTAACATATATTTACATATTAAAATAAATCTGTAAAATATTATTATTAAAATATTTTGAATAATATAATATTTATATAGGTATATAATATATTTACGAGTGAATAGATTCTAAGCTAAAAGCTAGTAAATAAATAGCGATTACGGGTCTAAATCAAGTAACCGTCATTGTCATAGTGGTAGGGGAGCCTGGGATGCTTAATTTGCAGGTACTACAGCGTCATGTGGACTTATTGGATTGTGAAGATTAGGTTCTAAAACGAAAAAAAGGCCATGTTAAGTTACCATTTTAGAGGGGGGAAGAGCGTGTATAAATTTTCAAAAATGAAAAAAAAAACAGTCACATGGAAGTACATACTCGAGCGCGTCAGACATTCATACCACGGTAATGTAATGCATATATTACCGTGTTCATACTGTATACGCGCTTTGTCTTTCTGATAATCAAGAAATATTAATCTGACGATTAACTAGTGGGGGGTGGCTGTAAAAAGGTCAGAAAGATCAATCAACTTAATTAAACCACGTATCTGCAAAGAATGAAAAAAAAAGTAAATCTTCTGTAAAACAACCCGCATATGCATCGCCATTTTGTGCGTCCATTTTCAATAACATTTGACATGGCACTTCACTTTAATATCGACTATTGACTCTTAAAATGTATTAATTTTGTATAAACTCTTCTTATTGATTTTGATACGGATTTTTTTATTAAACAAGCCAGACGTATATCAATATATTTATCAATCACGCATTTTATTAAGTCAATTTAATGATTGACGTTTTCATAATCAAACTGATGCTGCAGTAAATCGGAAAATAATTCTTCGCTAGTTAAAGAACTCAATGCTTTTGAAGAAAAATACATTGGACGGCATCTTGGTTTACATAAGGGCCAACACATTACCCTCCCTTCAGTAGTTGGGAAAAAACAACAGACAGACTATATAAGACTGCTGTACGAATATCAAGTCTTAATAATTATGTTTTTCGATAAACATAATTTTTATGTTTACATTGTGTCTCATCACTAATTTACACGTGCTAATGATAGAGCAAGATAATGTTATGTAATTTTATCTACGAAAGAAAGGGATGTGAAAAAACTAAAAATATATCAACGCGATCTCTTTTTATATTTTATTTCTGGGTAATTATTATACTTTTGTTAATGTTATCTTGGATTATACTAGACGTTGTACTACAATTTCCACACCATTTCACTGAACAATAGGGCATTATAACTAGTAACTCGGACAATGTTATCGCTGTGACTGTCGGCGGCGGACTAAGGAGCGTACAGGGGCGGGGCCGGCTGTTATGCAGTGTCACTGCCAAACCTTGGCGTAAACATTTCCCCAGTAATGCATCGTCTTTAGGTTATATTGTCTGTGTGGCAGACGGTAGCACGGGGACGGTGCGAGAGAGTGAGAGATAGAGAAAGAGTGAGAAGGAAAGGGGGCCTGGAATGGGAAATACACAGTTCTCAGGGTCTGTACGCTTCATCCTTTATTGGTTTTTATTATAATATTTATTCTAATAAAAACATAATATTATTGGTTTTTATTTATTTATTATTTATATAATGTTTTTCGTAATCCTGATAGGATTTCCTTATGCCACGCTCAAATTGTCAGATTATTCAAATTATTATACACTTTTCTGCATGTACCTACGAGTATATTACTTACCTTGTCTTAATCTGACGCATACGAGTTTTTCTGAGGATCGATTTTTTTACTAATCTAACGGGCTGCACTCAACGCACCCCCCCTATAGTAAGGGTTCATAAATGGTAGGGGTACATTACAGGCTGCAAGCTTTCTCTCATATGATTTTCTGACGCGCTCGAGTAACACACAAAATCCCGCTCTTGGGCTCCCCTATTATAGGGGATAAGCTACATTATTGTCATCCAGCATGAATTTTGGAAGAACGCGATATGTATTTAAGATTTGAGATGCTGTTTTTTGCATATATTAATTAATAATATTAATGTATGAGTTCGGTGATATGGCTAGAATTTTCAAGCTTATATTATAATTATATTCTACAGTATTATTAGAAGTTTAATAACTTAACCAGCCCAGAAGTTTAATAACTAAATCATTGAGCTATTCTTCTGCACGTTTGGTTTTTTTTTAAATTTATTATGGACAAATTTACTTAACAATAAGACCCAATTATAGATGTTGAACTTAATTAATTAAATTCCATTATATATATATATATATATATATATATATATATATATATATATATATACTCGTATTGATATAGGATAAAATAATTTCTTCTCTTACTCAATTAGCGCTAGAAAAGAATAGGTCTCAACGGCCGTGAGCTCTTCATACTTTTCAGGTGCACTGTTTTCTATGAATAGAAAAACCGTTTAGTTAAGGTAATGTATAAGCATTACCCGTGGTTTGAGCAGTAAATATATTCTTACTTTATATATGTAGCAATATACTCTATGATTCTTACAATAAAATTATAACAAGGTGGAAGATGTACCTACATTCATTTTGATTTTAAATTTGACTAGGTATATTAATATTTAAGGGTATTTTTAAGACACTTTTAAAATTTGTCTTTATTAATATGTTCGTCTGTTTAACCAAAGTATCACTCAAGAATATGATAATGAGAGGTGTTTTTTGTTTGCTGTATATAATTGAGGTCTAAAATATTATAGTTTACTAGCGAAAACAAAAACAAACCTATCCCACGGGAACCGTACATTTTTCCGGGATAAAAAGCGACCTATGTGTTATTCGAGACTATAATCTATCTCTATGCCAAATTTCATCCAGATCCGTTCAGCTGTTCTGGCATGAAAGAGTAACAAACATCCATGCTTACAAATTTTTACGTTTATAATATTAATACAGCTATTTATACAAATTAAGTTTCACGCATTCTCTAAAAAGTGGATGTTATGCTTAGTTTATCGATTTAGTAAATACGGAGACAGAGCCTCATATAATAGATAGTATAAAATATAATTACCTAATATATGTGTACTATAGTCTTAATTTATTCACATTTCAAGGCATTTACAATAACACCACATGCAAAGTCAATTAAACAATGTATGCCTTACAATGTTTTGCAAAAATATTAATAAACTAGCGACTCATCCTCGCTTCGCTCGGGTTCGTCCTTAGGTACGTTATAACGGTTAGTATAGAATAGATAGACTATATTGTACTATTATATACATATATTAGGTATTTATATTATTACAGAATCGACTGAGTTAAAATTTTACTATATGTTAGATATTCACGTAAATCTAAGAAAGTATTAAATGATAATTGAATAAAACATTATAACAAATGTTAAGTAATATAAAAACCTTGTGCGGAGCCAAATTGACTACGAAATCTTGCAATTTCCAACGTAACACAAATTGTAATCGCGAAAACATTGCCATAAAAGTGCATTGCCGTTATATATTTTTCTTTCATAATAAAACTTTATCTACTTTCCCATTCAATATAGCCTATTTTCATAATAAGTTTTAAAACTTATACATTTTATTTGTAGCCGAATAGTTGTAGTAAGTCAAATGTTATTTTTTCTGGAATATTTTACATCAATTTTATTATATATCATACTTATGATAGAAATATTTCCACAATTTTCTAGTCCACATATTTAAAACAGCACTGTGATTGTTTTTTAGAGCTATAGGTATATACCTTTAAAAATCTTCATTTTGATATCCCACTCGTTGGTTTGGAAGAAAAAAATTTTAAAGTCACAAATTGGCACCTGAAGTCTTCCAATTAGTTTTTTATTATTTCTATATAGCCTATGATACTCGCGTTATCAAGACAAATTTAACGACGTATAAATTATCAAAAAAGGTTAAGCCGTTTAGTTTACAGGTTAAACATATAAGCCTCCTTTGGGCTTCGCCGCAGTCGGATAATAATAAAATTGCCGAAGCGAATCATTATTAGCTTTATTTATTACAAAATCTTTTACAATGATTTGGTTTTCGGTATGCCACATCAAATATCTCATAATACATCAAGAATATTTCATCGAAAACGACAAAAAAAAAATAAGAAAGGAAAATGTTGCCTTAGCGACGCAATAAATAGTTATTAAGTTAAGCGATATCACAAAACTGAACCATGTTTATACGATATTTTTCAAAACAAATTTCGTATTTTATTTGAAATTGCTCAAATGAATACAATTGAATACCCATGTCGTCTAAATCTAAGGCACTGTATTGAAAATAGACTCTAAATCAAACAACTACACTAAGTACCTAATTATATTTCTAAAATTATATATTAGGTACATAGGTAAGTACTTTAATAATTTTTGAAAAATATTGTCAAATAACTTATATAATTTTTTTTTAAATACTTCTAATTCATTAAAACCTTAACTAATATTGTACATTAACTGATATGACGTGAAACTGATATTAACTCTTTAAATTTCGACCAATGTCTAAAATTAATATTAATAAGCATCAGTATTCTATAAAAAAAGTGATTTTATATTAACTACTTATTCTTTTTAGCTACTGCGAGTCCGACTTGCGTATATCTATAGCAATAGGGTTCCGTACAGCTAAATATTCTGATTTTCTTACTTATGTGTTTCCTTAGGTTAACACAAAGATAAAATACAAACACTTACATTTTCATAATATCAATACACTGTATCGATCGAAAAATTACGCTCGTATTTCATACTTTGTTTTTTAACATATTATGGAAAACAAAGTTAACTTCATGCGATTGCTAAACAAATAATGCGGGTAACTGATAATATTCCATAACTCAAAAACTGTTTAAAGTATATTCGGCAAAGTAATTTTCCTTGATAGAATATAAATATAACATTAAAAACAAAACATTCTGACAAATATTTGTACCAACTTTACATGCGATAATATTTTACAGGGCTTCCTTTGCATCAATTTAGAGCAGAAATTCATTATAACTATACTAGTATATTAATTGTGAAAAATCTATTAAGATCTCTATTCATATTTTGGATGAGATAAATGATAATTTAAATGTAACATGATTACCACCTTACGGTTCAAAAAACATCATAAAGAAACTTGCGTGTCTGAGAGAACCAAATAAGTTTCGAAGGACAAGTGAAGTCCGCCGTCTCAAACTTGACCAGCGTGGTGGATTATGGTCTGAACCCCTGCATTAAGAGAAGGTCCATGCCCAGCAGGGACATTTAAAAAGAGCTGAGTACAAACGATAATCTCTATAGTCAAGTATTACACACACATTAATTACAGCGTCGTAACGTACAACGGAGACCACTAATCTATTACCAAGCTCAACGTATGTACTCATTAAAATCTTATGCTCTAGTACTTTCACCCGCATATTGTAGAATGTTAAACCCGTTAGGCACAATATGGTGACCTGAATTTGAAACGTTATACTAAGTCGGCATTAACGAGACAGCTAAGACAATATGACTTAAGGTATTTTAAAATAATTAATTGCTATAATTGCGTCATTTTATCATCGTAATATGAAATTTAGTTCATATTAAAGCTTCTAAATCTATACTAATATTATAAAGAGGCAGAGCTTATTTGCTTGCTTATTTGTTTGTATGTTTTTTTGTTTGATGGTTCGTTCGTTCGTTTGTTTAAACGCGCTAATCTTAGGAACTACTTATCCAATTTAAAAATTATTTTTGCACTCGATAGCCCGTTTATTGAGAAAGGGGTATAATAGGCTATATATCATATAATATATAGCCTATCTATTCCATTCTACCGTTAAAACGAACCCAGGGACGAACCCGAGCGAAGCGAGGGTAAGTCGCTAGTTCTGTAAAATTAGTCGATATCTGTATGATAGCATACTGGATCAAAATTAAAAGAGATACAATTTATATACAATGAGGAAATCGGAGACAAATTGCTGCATTAAAACTAGATGCTACGTTTTTTGCAACCTAAAACTGTTTTTCTAAAAGAAAAATGGTCACCTTAGAGATGGAGGGAAATTAGACGTGCAAAACATTTATCTTAGAGGTACAAAATTGCTCAAAGTGGCCTCGGGAGGTGTGTTGTAGCTTTTTATGGGGCTTTTATCCTTAATAAAAAGGAAAGAGGTAAGAAAGAACATATTATGGTTATATTTCTCGTTTTACATCCCCTACCACAATGTGCCAAAAGTGAATGTTTATGGGATATTTAAGGCTGACCAAGAAGTGTTCATAGTAAAATATTTAACAAAATGTATCTAATTATATTTATAGTTGTTTTTTACATTATAGGAAAACCTTTTTGTATATAATATAAATAAAAATAGGTGTCAAAGGACACGAAGCTGCGAATAACAGCTTTTCTCTTTTAATATCCTATATTTGACGATACTTATAAGATAAGCTTTTTAAGTGGTAGTTTACTCCATAAATCTCCATTCTATCTCCATTATAAATGCAAAATATTGTATGTGTTTGTATGTTTGTTACTCCTTTACGCTGAAATAGCGAGACAATAAAACTCTATGTGGGAATGAGATAATCTTTCGCGGTAAAAACTAGCCTATGTCACTCTCCAGCCTTCCAACTATTTCCACACAAAAAATAACGCCCCTCCGTCACTCTGTTTCGACGTGAAAGAATTACAAACAAACAAAGAATCAAACAAACACACTTTCACATTTATAATATTAGTATGGATTCACATTTACTTATTCACATACACATTTATAATATTAAGTATATGGATTACAAATTATTAGTTTTTAATTTAAATGCAACAATTGGGATTTTGAAAAATAAATATTGATTTTTTTTATGTATTTTAAAACTTTATTATTAATCCCTCCACGACCGCGGACATGCCGGCGTGTCAGTTAACAATAGATTTCTTAGAATTTTAATTAATTTCTTAGAAATTTACCTGGAGGTGTTAATTATTAATATTGATATTTAATGCAAAAAACTTAAAAAAAAATCTATTATTTATAATATTGTCGTTTTTCTGCAGCTGGTCTAAGAATCGTTGTAGTGCCTTGTCTTTTACGATTAGCTTGACAGTTAAACTTGTGTGGTACCACATCAACTTTAATCTTTGCTTTACCTCCCATCGTTGTATAATAAATATAATTTTCCATTTATTATTTAAGCACTTTAAATTATGAAAATTTTTTTTAATGAAATTTAAATGATACGATTTTAAAGGTATGATTTGGAGTTTAGTTAAAAAAATTATTCACTGTATTTCAATTTATTCTACTTAAGTATGTATATAATAATTATTTGATTTGTATACTTAGATAAATAATAATTAATAACTATGAAATGATCTTCACAACAAAAAAAAAATCGATTTTGTTTTGGGATTATCACGGTGCACTGCTTGAAACCATTTATTTCGACGTTTGTCATCTTGGGGAACATTTAAAGACATTTTGTCAGGAGTTGTTTTTGTAGTATTCGTACATTATGGTACAAAATAAGAACGATAACTTTTGAAGTTCGAAATTTTCAATATAAATTTGAATATTT